GAAATGTCAAACAACATAATCTTTCACCTGGATTGCTGCATCAATCATCTAACAGATCTCTTGACATCTACTCTAGTTCTTTTCCAGTCCATTTCCCATGCTTTAGCCTAAGCAATCATTTTAGAACACAGATCTAATCATGTAACCTTAATCATAGCAGAAAACACATCTTTGGTTCCCTGTGGGTTTCAGGAAAGACTAAAATCCTATCATATGTATGACCTCTAATAATGGACCTCATATTATACCATGTTTTATCTTTCCCTGGGTACTTAAGCCACACTAACTTTTCAATCCATTAAACACTCTAGTTAAATGGCTCTTTAAGGTCACCCATGATTTCCATCCTGCTAAGTTTAAAAGTTTAATTTCTGTTCATATAACCATTTATTTATTCATTAAAAAAAATTTTTTTTTGAGACATAGTCACCGACACTGGAGGGCAGTGGCACATCATAGCTCACTGTCACCTTGAACTCCTGGGCTCGAGTGATCCTTCTGCCTCAGCTTCCCAAGTAGCTAGGACTGCAGGCATGTGCCACCATGCATTGCTAAATTTTTTACTCTTACAGAGACAGAGTTTTGCTGTGTCGCCCAGGCTGGTCTTGAACTCCTAGCGATAAGCAGTCCTCCTGCCTCAGCATCCCAAGGGGCTGGGATTACAGATGTGAGCTTCTGTATCCAGCCCCATGTAATTCTTGAGTTAGTAACATTCAACACAAATGGCCATTCCATCCTTTAAACCTTTCTTCTGACTTGAGTAACATCACAGAATTTTTCCTCTACTTTTAGTTGCTAGAATTCCTTAATCATTGGCCCCCTTAGCTTTCTACAGTCTCCTTCAGTAATCTCTTCTAGTTTCATGGCTTTAAAGAACATCAGTTTATTAATATAACTCCACCCCTGATCAGTGTCAGACTGGTATATTCAACTTCCTATTCCACTCTTCTACTCATATCTAATAGGCATCTCAGATGTAACAAGTCCAAAACAGAATGTTCTTTTTTTTAATTTTCAAAATTTTAGATTTGGGGGTACACATGCAGGTTTCTTACATGCATATTTTGTGTAATGTTGAGATACAGCCTTCTAATTTGCCCATCACACAAATTGTGACCATTGTATCCAGCAGGTAATTTTTCAGCCCTTACCTTCCTTCTTTCCCCTGCCCTTTGGAGTCGTCAGTGTCTATTCTTTCCATCTTTATGTCTATATATATCCATTGTTTAGTTACCACTTATAAGCAAGAAAATTTGGTATTTGGTTTTCTGTTTTGAGTTACTTCACTTAATGGTCTCCAACTCCATCGATGTTGCTGCAAAGGACATGATTTCATTCTTTTTTCTTTCTTTCTTTCTTATTTTTTTTGAGGTGGAGTTTTGCTCTTGTTGCCCAGGCTGGAATGCAGTGGTGCAATCTCAGCTCAGTGCAACCTCTGCCTTCCAGGTTTGAGCTATTTTTCTGCCTCAGCCTCCCAAGTAGCTGGGATTACAGGCGCCTACCATCATGCCTAGCTAAATTTTTGTATTTTTAGTAGAGATGGGGTTTTACCATGTTGTCCATGCTGGTCTTGAACTCCTGACCTCAGGTGATCCGCCCACCCTGGCCTCCCAAAGTGCTAGGTTTACAGGCATGAGCCACTGCACCTGAACGATTTCATTCTTTTCTATGGCTGCATGGTATGCCACATATATGTGTGTATACATACACACACCGCATTTTCTTTATCCAGTCAACTGTTGATGGACACTTAGCTTTCTACTGTGAATAGTGTGTTGATCAACATGTGAGTACAGGTGTCTTTTTTATATAATGATTTCTTTTCCTCTGGGTAAGGAAAGAAAGGAGTTGGTTTCATTTGACCCAGTAGTGGGACTGCTGGGTCAAATGGTAGTTCTGTTGTTGATTCGCTGAGAAATCTTCATAAGTTCCATAGAGGTTGTACTAATTTACATTTCTGTCAACAGTATATAAGCATTCCCTTTTCTCTGCATGCACGCCAATATCTGTTGCCACAACGGAACTTAAAAAAAAAGTTATTCTACAAAATTTTAAACATAGCCCAAAAGGAGAGACAGTACCACAAACACCCAGGTACCCATCCCCCAACTCCAACAACCAATTCATGGCCATTCTTGTTTCATCTGTACGCTGCTAACACATACCCCACACTAATCAGATTATCTTGAAGTACATCCCAAATACTATACCCTTTTTCCTGTAAAATTTCTGTCTGTGTCTCCAAAAGATCACGACTTTCTAAACTAGTATCATGAGTTTGGAATTTACCATTTAAGGACATTTCATATATCCTCCACTATGTTTGGTGGTTGTCTAGTGAACAGTTGAGATTATCCCTTAAGAATTCCAGTTTACAGGGAATACTATTTAAAAAAAAAAAAAGAAAGATACAGGAAGAGAAGATAATGAACTTGGTTTTAGACTTGGTATTTGCTTGTGTTTTGTTATTCTGAATTATGAACCTCTATAAGCCATTTTACTTTAGATTGAGATATAGAAAAGGCTATTCAACTCACTAATTAAAAATACATGGAATGATAGAATCTAGACTATAGACTTAGATTGAATGGACTAAATGGTTTGCAATTGGAAACGTTCGTTAGATGTTCATTCATGGAAATGTTCATTAATGAGAATTAATGAGAAAGTGGCCAAATGAGTTGTGGTGCTTGAACAGGATAGAATACTTATGCAACTATGTAAAATATCTTCAGGGTTGGGTGCAGTGGCTCATGCCTGTAGTCCCAGCACTTTGGGAGGCTGAGGCGGGAGGATTGCTTTAGTCCCGGAGTTCCAAGACCAGCCTAGGCAATGTGGCAAAACCCTCCCTCTATAAAAAATATACAAAAAAAATAAGCCAGGTGTAGTCGCACATGCCTGTGGTCCCAGCTATTTGAGGGGGCTGAGGTGGGAGGATACTTGAGCCCAGGAGGCGGAGGTTGCAATGAGCCGAGATCACGCCACTGCACTCCAGACTGAGCAACAGAGTGAGACTCTGTCTCAAAAAAAAAAAAAAAAAAAAAAAAAAAAACTTCAAGATATTTCTAGCAACAAGAGCAGAGTGCTTGACTGGGCACGGTGGCTCATGCCTATAATCCCAGCACTTTGGGAGTCCAAGGCGGGCAAATCACGTCAGGAGATGGAGACCATCCTAGCCAACATGGTGAAATCCCATCTCTAAAAAAAAAAAATTTTTTTTTAAAAGCAGAGTGCTCATAATCTAATGTCATAAAGCCAGATTTTAAAGTGTTCCATAGTACCTCAGTTTTTTTTTTTTTTTTTTTTTTTTTTTTTTTTTTTTTTTGAGACGGAGTTTCGCTCTTGTTACCCAGGCTGGAGTGCAATGGCGCGATCTCGGCTCACCGCAACCTCCGCCTCCTGGGTTCAGGCAATTCTCCTGCCTCAGCCTCCTGAGTAGCTGGGATTACAGGCACGCGCCACCATGCCCAGCTAGTTTTTTGTATTTTTAGTAGAGACGGGGTTTCACCATGTTGACCAGGATGGTCTCGATCTCTCGACCTCGTGATCCACCCGCCTCGGCCTCCCAAAGTGCTGGGATTACAGGCTTGAGCCACCGCGCCCGGCCAGTACCTCAGTTTTATAAAAACATTCATAGGTACGTGTAGAAAAAAGACCAGGGGGTCATATTAAAATATTGATAATGGTTAACTATGGATGATTTTTATTTAAAGTTTTTACTAACTTTTCTAAAATGAAAGTAATAATTTAATCATAATAAGAATTTTTATTTTAACAAATGGACAAGGAAAAAAGGAGTTGGATTCCGTTATGGATTTAAGTTTGGCAGAGGTAAGTACCATAGTGTATTGAGGGAGAATCAAACGTTGCTTTTAATACATATTAATATTGACTGTTAACTTGGATGTTTTCAATAGTAAGTATATTCCTAGTATTATATAATTCTGTTCTATTTTTGTTTAATCCTTTTTTTTTTTTTTTTTTTTAAGAGATAGGGTCTTATTATCACCCAGGGAGGAGTACAGTGGTGTGATCACAGCTCACTGCAGCCGTGAACTCCTGGGCTCAGTGATCTTCCTGCCCCAGCCTCACAGGTAGCTAGGATTGCAGGCATGAGTGCCACGCCCGGCTAATTAAAAAAAAAATTTTTTTTTTGTAGAGACAGGGTCTCACTATGTCATTCAGGTTGGTCTCGAATTTCTGGGTTCAAGCAATACTCCTGCCTCAGCCTCCTAAAGTGTTGGGATTACAGATGTGAGCCACTGCATCCCGCTGTTTTCTTGATGAATTTTAAGTGGCTGTGGTTTTTTGTTGTTGTTGTTCTTGTTTGGATATTTTGTAAATTTGAGAAACAGAAAAGAAAGAGAAAGGTATGCTGCCAGAAACTTCTCCCAGAGTTTAACTGAAGACGGAATGTAGCTGATGTCCAGCCTTTCTCTAGTAACAAGTGAAAAGAAGTACACTGATCACATGGGAAGAGGGGCTATACTGTGTAGGTAGTTACCACCAGTCTTTTTAAGTTCCCTGCCCTTTTGATACTATTTTTCTGTTGGTTGTTTTTTTTGAGATTTGGAGGCTTTCTGAGGGAAGGGGGTCCTTGGAAGATATGAGCTAGGGTTACTAAGAAAAAGTAAAAACTAAAGTTCACTATATACTTTATTGGCTGTATGCTGGAGATGGAAGGAGCATACACTGTTTGTTAAACACCATGCCAACAAACGGGATTTGAACATGAGTAAAACAGTCTTAACCCTTAAGACAATCACATTTGAGCCAAGGAGACAGAGCTGGTGCCCACTGTTAGGATTACTGTTACTTAACCTACCTATTAACCTTATAATAAACATTTTCTTATGGTTGCACTATATTTGGCTTGGTTTCCTCACTGTTGACTTACAGGGTTATAAAATATCCAAGAGCTTTGCTTTTTACTTAAATACTTGTTTTTTTATCACTAACTTTCCATTCAGGTTATATTTTTTTGTTTTAAATCCTGATAGGAATTACTCAAGGTGATGAGGACAATTGATGACAGAATAGTACATGAATTAAACACTACGGTTCCAACAGCTTCCTTTGTAGGGAAAATTGATGCCAGCCAAACCTGTAAACAACTTTATGAGTCTGTAAGTGTATTTTTTGAGTCTCTCTTTTCCTTCTTTTATGCTTTTCTTTGCAGGCTAAAATAAGAAATCAGTTATCTTGCAACTCAGCTGTGACTAAAGGAATGACATCTTTATGTTTCTCTGCTTATACCTGATGGTGTCTATAATTTTTATGTATTTTCTACACCCTAAAGAAAATGTGGGATCTTACACTTGTGAAATCTTACCAAATCTGTGAAGAAATGGTTCTAAAGAATGGGAGCAGTTGTTTTGCAGCCTTTAACTTAAGGAGACCTCACGCACAAAGGAATGAAAGGGGGAGAGTGAAACAGTAAAGCAAAACGGTAGCAAGAGCAAGGACTGTGAGTACATTAGTTCTAAAAAGCCAGGCAGCTGGTATAAGGAAGAATTAAAATCCTTCACGCCTTTAAATCTTCTTTTTCTCACTCCTCAGGAAGAGGAATAGAAGCATTTGGCAACTGGGAAAGAAGGAAGCCATGGATCAATTGTCCTTTCCCGAGGCTTTGGTTTCTCAAGTATATATTTTTATTTCCTCCCTTTTTCTTTTTTAATTTCCAAAAGCAAAAGGAAATAATGCTGCGGCAGAATATTTTTTGTAGTTTATTTACTTATATTCTTTCATAATTTGGAAGCTAAAGTTTAAGTTCTACCACAAGGTTACCATTTGGATTCATAGTCATAAAGAAGGCATGCTTAAAACCTAAACTGCCTTTCTCAGATCAATTTTAGACAAGCTTATCCATGACAGTTAAATTCAGAGGCACTAACTACTGATATTTTTGTTCTGTGTTAAAGTGTGTTACTTTAAATGAGCAGGTAAGTCTTGTGGCTTGAGAAAATCATAAGGTTGTGGACTTTAACAAGTGGAATTCAGTATGCAAGTAGGTAGCATGGGACCAGTCCTAATTTGCTATGAGGCTGTTTGACAGTTCACTTTCTTTGGGTACCTCTGTCTGAAGAACTAGAATATATGGTCACTTTGGTGATACCCCACCCTCACCTCGCTACTCATATAATCTCCGTAATCTATAAAGTTGTTTCCATTTACAATCTTCCTGTTAACCTAGATGTTTATGGTGTAGTGATTAACAATATAGATTTTAGATCTAGATTAATCTCACATCTGCTACCTCCCAGCTGGGTGACCTTAAATATGTTACATAACCTCTGCCTCAGTTTTGTTTTGTTTTGTTTTTTTGAGATAGTGTCTCACTTTGTCGCCTAGGCTGGAGTACAGTGGCAGGATCTTGCCTCGCTGTAACTTCTACCTCCCAGGTTCGAATGATTCTCCCATCTCAGTCTCCCTAGTAGGTGGGACAACAGGCACGTGCTAACATACCTGGTTAACTTTTTGTGTATTTTTTGGTAGAGATGGGGTTTTCGCCATGTTGGCCAGTCTGGTCTCAAACTCCTGATCTCAAGTGATCCGCCTGCCTCGGCCTCCCAATTTGCTGGAATTACAGGCGTGAGCCAACATGCCTGGCCATCTGCCTCAGTTTTAATATCTGTAAACCTCGGCCTCCCAATTTGCTGGGATTACAAACATGAGCCAACATGCCTGGCCGTCTGCCTCAGTTTTAATATTTGTAAAATAATATAGTAATAGTACTTCATAGGGTTGTTGGAGTACTGAATTACAAAGTGCTTACAGTACTATTTTGCATACAGATATTGCTGGCCAGCTGCACTGGCTCACACCTGTAGTCCCAACACTTTGGGAGGCTGAGGGAAGATCACTTGAGTCCAGGAGTTCAAGACCAGCCTGGGTGACATGGCGAAACCACGTCTCCACCAAAAATACAAAAGTTAGCAGGGTGTAGTGGCGTGCACCTATGGTCCCAGTTACTCAGGAGGCTAAGGCAGGAGGATTGCTTGAGCCCAGGAGGTAGAGGTTGCAGTGAGCCATGATCACACCACCGCAGTCCAGCCTCAGTGACAGAGTGAGACCCTGTCTCAAAAAATGTTTGCTGCTACTGCTATAATTTTTTCATTTTAACAGGCCTGAAGAGAGTTACAAGTTACTGTTTCTTTTTTACTTTTTATTTTTTTGAGATGGAGTCCCATTCTATCACCCAGGCTGGAGTGCAATGGCATGATCTCAGCTAACTGCAACCTCCAACTCCTGGGGTAAAGTGATTCTCTTGCCTCAGTCTCCCGAGCAGCTGGGATTACAGGTGACCACCACAACACCTGGGTAATTTTTTTGTACTTTTAGTAGAGACAGGGTTTCACCATGTTGGCCAGGCTGGTCTGAAACTCCTGACTTCAGGTGATCTGCCTGCCTCGGCCTCCCAAAGTGCTAGGATTAGGCATGAGGCACTATACCCGGCCTGCAAGTTTTTTTTTTTTGTTTTGTTTTGTTTTGTTTTTTAATCTCCTGTTGAGTCAGAATAACCTTGCATACTAAATTTGGAACCCTTCTGCTTTGGAAATCCTGTGTGTGTGTTTGGGTTTTTCTCTGTATCTATATCCTAGAGGGATTCAGCAACATGTATATCAGGCAAAGCTTAGTTTTTCACGTAGCTTTGTGCCAGGGATTGAGCCCACAGCAGAGTGCCCATGCCACTAAGTACCACTGAGTTCCCTTATGTATTGTGTCAGTCAGGAAGCAGAACTTCATGAAATGTCCAGGTTGCTTATATTCACCCTGACTTTAATCCCTGACCCAGCTTCCTTCTATAGCTGAAGGAGGGATATTTGCATTTTCAAATAACACTTCTAGGTTATGATCAGCAACATTATTACGAAACACTCGTTTTAGGAATTTCAAATCTCAAAAGTATACCCATGAAAGAGAAGATTGTGTTGAATCAGCAACGTCATCTAAAAACATAAGTGGCAGCATCTCTGAGGGTGGAGGTATGAGGTCTGGGCTGTCCTGCTCCTCAGTATGCTGCTGGTGTTGCCCTCCGCTATCTTCCTGCATTCCCTGCACTGGGCTTTTCACTTCCTTTTCCTCTACCCTACACCACTGACTTTCCCCATGATTCTATCCATGTGTTCCTCTATCCTACATCCAACCGCACGCACCAGGACACTTACGGCTAATTCTTCCTCTCTTTCTTTGTCCTTTCATATGTTTTTCTGTCTCACATTGTCAACAAGTGAAAGAAATTATAACCTAAATCATGTATAGAAGATTTCGTTACTTTAACAAAGAATGCTACATTTACCTACTCAAGACAGAGCCCTTTTCAAGATTATTAAGTATTGATAAGGAAAATTTATATATGAAGCACAGATTAGTGGTTGCATTAATTGTGTGTGCTGATTGAAATTAAGGATGTCTGACGCAACAACTCTTTGTTAACCTCCATCTTAATGTAATAAATTAATAAAAACAGTTCTCATCTATTTCCCATCTTGATTCATAAAGTATCATGGTTATGTTTCAAACACACTTCCATAATCGTATCCAAATTTTGATAATACCCCCAAATCTGCATTTGTAAAGCACTGTTTCAAGTACATAGACTTTATTGTTCAGTATAGATTTTTATGTTTACCGTGGGAATAAAGGATAAAGGTTGTAAAGCAAGAAAAATTTCATAGATTGAAGAGAACTTGTTCTAATAAGATCTCACTGAAATTAAGTTTTACCTTGGGTATACTTTTGAGATTTGAAATTCCTAAAATGAGTGTTTCATAATAACGTTTTTTTAAAAAGTCCTTGAGACTACAGAAATTTAATACTTTCTAAAACAATTTCTGTAGTCTTAAGGACTTTTTTAAAAAACACAAAAATGTGATAGATTGATGCACTTTTTGTTTCTCATTTCATTCCTTTGTTCTTTTAGTTGATGGCAGCTCATGCCAGTAGAGACAGAGTCATAAAAAATTGTATAGCCCAGACGTCAGAAGTAGTAAAAAACCTCCGAGAGGAAAGAGAAAAGAATTTGGACGACTTAACGTTATTAAAGCAACTTAGAAAAGAGCAGACAAAGGTAAGTTGAACAGAATTAACATTTCTCAGGCAAAGTTTTTCCAACTGTAGGCTTCAAAGTAAAATTTTTAATATGAAAATTTTGGCATATAATATGGCTATTACTTAAAAAAAAAATGACCAGATTAGTGCCTCATTTTTAGTGGGCTTTATATTATTACGTTTAGATATTAATTGGTAAACTAATGTGCACTTCTTGAAAAAAATGCAGCATAGCAGCTTTGGCTAAAATAAGCATGTAGTCATAATTCATTTCATTTCTTTATTTGTTTCTTTCCCACTGTTAAAGAAAAGGGGTCACTACAGGCGAACTACCACATCAGAAATTCTGGGGAAATCACATCTGTACAGTATCTGCCTTTTGAGAGTTAACTTGAGAAAAAACATCTCTAATGTATTTATGTTTTGAGAATACCTCTAGTTTCATTCTGTAGAAATCTGCTGAAATGTAATACAGACTATTTAACTTCAGAATGTTACCCTCGTTAGCCATAAAAATAGAGTATGATTTAAATATAACCAGGTGCACTTGTACCTCATTATAATTTATTTCCCTACTGTGTAAAAGTTGCTAGGGATCTTTGGCTTTTTCTTGGACATGGCCTTTTCCCATTTCCTCCCCAATCCCTGCAGTGTTTTTACTTTTAAGAAAATAGCAGGCCGGGCGAGGTGGCTCAAGCCTGTAATCCCAGCACTTTGGGAGGCCGAGGCGGGTGGTTCATGAGGTCAAGAGATCGAGACCATCCTGGTCAACATGGTGAAACCCCGTCTCTACTAAAAATACAAAAAAAAAAAAAAAAAAAAAAAAAGTTAGCTGGGCATGGTGGCGCTTGCCTGTAATCCCAGCTACTCAGGAGGCTGAGGCAGGAGAATTGCCTGAACCCAGGAGGCGGAGGTTGCGGTGAGCCGAGATTGCGCCATTGCACTCCAGCCTGGGTAACAAGAGTGAAACTCCGTCTCAAAAAAAAAAAAGAAAATAGCAAATGCCTACCTAGGGATGTGTCAGAGGAAGCCTGTTTTCCCAAGTCAACTATAATGTAGATAGGGTGTAGACTTCAGATTACAGTCAATGCAGCAGAACTATTTCTTTACAGCCCTTATATATGATGTGTCAAGGAAACAATAGAAAAATACAGCATATTTTATTATTTGGGATTTATTGCTGCCTTTCTTTTGAGGGGACTCTTGGGTAACTTTTTATTTTGTATAATTTCAAACTTACAGAAAAGTTCTAAGAATAGTACAAGGCACTCCCACGTGCCCTTTACCTGTATTCATTTGTTGTTTATATGTTGCCCACCTGCTTTACAGTTCATTCTCTTCACCCTCCCTCTCTCCTTCTCTTTATTCTTCCCTGCCTTCCTCCTCCTCCCTCTCTCCCCACACACCTGTATGCATAAATATAAATATATTTTTTCCATGAACCATCTTAAGAGTATGTTGTATACATTGTACTACTTTACCTTTAAGCTCATTAGTTATTTTATAAGAACAGGGACTTTTCTTACAGGACCAATGTACAATTATTAAAATCATGGTGTTTTTTGTTTGTTTTTGAGATAGGGTCTCACTCTTGTCACCTAGGCTGGAGTGCAGTGGTGCAGTCTCGGCTTACTGCAACCTCTGCTTCTGGGGCTCAAGCAGTCCTCCCATCTCAGCCTCCTAAGTAGCTGGGACTATGGGTGCAGACCACCACATCCAGCTAATTTTTTGTATTTTTGGTAGAGACTGGGGTCTCACCATGTCACCCAGACTGGTCTCAAACTCCTGAGCTGAAAGTGATCTGCCCTCCTTGGCCTCCCAAAGTGTTAGGATTATAGGTGCGAGCCACTGCACCTGGCTTCATGTTTGTATTTTAAGATGGCATAATAGGTGACTTAGATCCTTGTGTGATTGAGTCATGCTTTTCATACTGACCAGTCATGAAGTTTGCCCTTTGTTTAGTAGATGTAACCAAACTATGAAGAGGGGGCCTTGTCATCTCTTGAAAATCTTTAGTAGAAAAGAAAAGAAACCTCTTTCCCTGTAGCTGGCTGCACACAAGGTGAGGAGGCCAGGCTGCTGCACTTTCTCAATCATTCTACCAATTCAGGATGTCTCACTGGATCTAGGACTCAGCCACTGTTCTTGCTGCTCTCTTTGTTCATGACTACTGTGTCAGGTCTGTATTCCATATCTGCTCATGAAACAGGCACTGATGGATCCCTTGGACAGTGACGTTATGCAGTAATGCTCATTTTACCCTCCCCTTGCTGTTCATGAAGGCATATAGATATTTTATATAAAACTGGTGAAAGTCTATTAATTTTGGAGTTTATATTTCAACTCTCTTGAAGGTGTTGACAAAGGAAACTCCAGGGCAAGTCTGTTAAATCAGAAACTGAAAAGTCACTGTTTGCAGATCAAGTCAAACAGAATAGAGTGACTCATTAGAACAGAGCAAAGTTCAAAACTAAATTACTGAGTGTTTGGGAGTGATGTGTTTGCTCAACCCTCAGATCTGCCCTTATGCCTTTAGAGCCCAGATAGAATCACCAGGATGACCACTGCAAGGAAGGGTTTAGAAATCAATCAGTGAGTTGCATGAGGTGTGCTTTATAGCTTGATAACATATAGGGCTGAGGGAAACCATGGGGTAGTACATAAGCAAATAAGGAAACGTGAATTTTTTTTTTTTTTCAATTTTCAAGTTTGCTGTGAAGATTTTGGAATCAGAGAGAGCTCTTGGAGATGTTACAGCTCTACCTCTTCATTTTCTATCTGAGGAAAAAGACTCAGAGATACTAACTGACATCCCCAAAGCCACAAGCTAGTAAGTGGTAGAACTGGGACTTTTAACTCATCTCTTCTGACCCTAAATTCAGTCAGTTTCTTTAAGTTGTGACGAGTAGTCAAATACTTTAGTGAGCATATTTTATTTCTATACAGCGATGCCAATCAAAAAATCCCCACTACTTTACCTGAATCTTTAACTCAGAAAAAAAGCACCTTCCTTGCTGGACCTCTGTAACTGCTGTCACATATTAGTGGCCTTTAGAGGAAGTTTACCTGTTGAAGACCTAGAGTCTTAAAGACAACTGTCTCAAAGGTGACTGTTGGTAGCACTAATAAAATTATATTAGCAGTTGGCTATAATATTTGCAATGTTGCAGAATTTTAAAAAATAATCAAAAGGCAGATAGCTCTAAGGAAATAAATCCCATCTACCTTGGTGGCTTTGTAACCTTGTGTATTAATCGTTCTGAAAAGTTGGATTTTGAGTCTGTAAAATGGAGTTGATACCTAATAACTTCTTATTTTGGTGGGGCGCGGCGGGGGATTCAATTATTTAATGTAAGTAAGAGCTAGCATATTGGCTGGTACAAAGAAGCAATTTCTTTTTGTTTTTGAAGTCTGGGACCCCATATTTGTTGCATTAATCCTCTTTATCATATCACCACCAGTGTTTTCTAGCTTTTGTTTCATTGCTGCTTAAGGGCAGAGTGCTGTGGCAGGGGAAGACTCTCTGTGTCAGCGTCAGTGTATTCTCTTCTGGACAGTTCTAAATGTTCCAAGATTTTCATATATATTGTGAAATTCTACTCCCATGATATGTAAGTACTGCTTCTTTTTTTTGAGACTGAGTTTCGTTCTTGTTGCCCAGGCTGGGGTGCAATGGCGTGATCTTGGTTCACTGCAATCTCTACCTCCTGGGTTTAAGCGATTCTTCTGCCTCAGACTCCCAAGTAGCTGGGATTACAGGCATTCGCCACCATGCCTGGCTAATTTTTTTGTATTTTTAATAGAGGTGGGGTTTCTCCATGTTGGTCAGGCTGGTCTTGAATTCCGAACCTCAGGTAATCTGTCCCCTTTAGCCCCCCAAAATGCTGTGATTACAGACGTGAGTCACTGCATCTGACCAAGTACTGCTTCTTGATCTCTCTGGAGCTACCCAGGATAAGTCTGAACACTTTTCTAGATGGTATCCCTTTAAATATTTGAGAGTGGTTTTGAAGACTATCTTAGTCACTTTCATACTGTTCTTCAACTGCAGTTATTTCTTTGGCAGTCAGTCCAGGCTTTGTTAGAGAAATGGAGCTTTAATGATTTTCATCTGAATGGCTGATTAAAATGGGAAACTGTGATTGCATTGATGGGCTTCTTCAGGCTTGTTGCTACTGCACAGCACAGAACTAATTGTCAGAAATTGTAGTCCTCCTTGTTCCACAGTTCTAGCCATATGTACAGGCCTGCACTTTGACACCAGTTCTGAATCTAGGAAGGGAGTTTGCAAGGAGCCGTTGGATCTGTACCAAGTTCCATTCTTATCAGTGTTGCCACACATTTCTCAAACCTTCTGCCTGAACTGCACTCCTAATTGGGTAGGGTCTTTGGCCTGGATGTCAGATTCGTGCTTGCCCGGAACTTATTGAGCTCTCTGGCATTTTGTTCCCAAATTTGCTCTGGGTTCTTGACTTTGGCCTGAGGAAATGATCCTGGTGTTAACCTCTTAGGTGGCATCAACCTATAGCTCATGCTTTTTTCTCCTCATTTTCCTGAATAGTTTCAAGCCTTCTGCCTGGAACTAGCCAGTTTTTTTCTCTTCAAGTCCTATAACAAAATATTCCTGGGAATATCGTGAATCCTGCTATCAGGGCCTGGCAATGGAATTGGCTACTTTTCTGTCGGAGTAATTAGGTTGGCAGTTATAAAGAAAGCTAAAAAGACTTGGCATTTTTAGCCTGAGATCTCTGACTGTATGGTTAAGGTGTGAGTAAACGCATGCCTTTCTAGATCACTTGGGACATGTATATTCTCTTACCTCCCTGTTTTCCTTCCTGAGGTTTTTTTTGTTTTTTGTTTTCTTAATTCTCTATTCAGATCAGGTTTACGCTTCCTTGTTTTTATTTTCCTCTGTGCTATCTTTGCAAGTCTATAGTTGTATGATCAATCTCTAAAACTGGAATCATTGGGTTTAGGGACATGAGAGTGTACATTCCCTGAGTCTTGCCAAATTGCCCTCCATAGAAGTTGTAACAATTTCTACTCTTACCAAGAATATATGTATCTTTTCCTGTACCTTCACTAATGTTAGATTTTATCAGACTTACTCATTTTTTTCATATTCTGGCTTAATTTGCATTTCTTTATATATGAGTAAGATTGGCATTTTGTTATGTTTGTTGGCCTTTTGTATGTCTTCTGTGAACTGACTGGCCTTGGGAGTTTTTTTAAAGCTCTCAAGGTGGTTAGAATATGTAGCAAAGTTTGAGATTAACAATTGATTAGATATGGGGAAAGTTGGCTGTGTCAAAGAAGGTTTCAAACTCTGCCATTAACAGACAAAAATAGTAGAGCAGCAGCAGGTTTTGTTGGTTAAACATGTGTATGGTTTTAGCTCTTTAAATTTTATAACTTCATTTTTCTTTTCTTGCAGTTGAAATGGATGCAGTCAGAACTGAATGTTGAAGAAGTGGTAAATGACAGGAGCTGGAAGGTATAAAATAACATTGGTGTTGGAAAGAAGTAGGAGGGAAACTGAACTAGCAAAGGGAAACCAAGGGAGAGGGAATAAACAGGGCCTTGAGGCTCTAAGGAGAGTAGAGATCATTCATTTATATTTACAATTGTGGGTTGTAACCTTTTGAGGGGGGACGAGAAGGGGGAGGGGGAGGAGGATGCAGTTAGCGTCTAGTTAGAGCCATATTATAACAATTAGCTTTACAGGGCCGGGCTTGCTGGCTCATTCCTGTAATCCCAGCACTTTGGGAGGCTGAGGTGGGTGGATCACCTGAAGTCAAGGATTCAAGACCAGCCTGGCCAACATGGTGAAACACTGTGTGTACTAAAAATATAAAAATTAGTCAGGCATGGTGGCATGTGCCTATAATCTCAGCTACTCGGGAGGTTGAGAAAGGAGAATCGAGGAGATTGCAGTGAGCCGAGATTGTGCCACTGCGCTCCAGCCTGGGCAACAGAGTGAGACTCCATCTTGGGGGGAAAAAAAAAAATTTGGTAGAATTGAATGAGCTGCCATCATAACAGCATTAGAGCCATTCTCTGTGTCTCCTAACACTAATTACAGGCATTTTTATACTACTCAGAGCCTTCAAGGAGGTTATTTGTTAAACTTAGCCTTTTGAGCTCAGTTACTTTCTGTAAGTTTTCTTATCATTAGATACCCTATACAATTGCTTGTCTTCTACCTTATCTAATCATAAACTTGTTATTATATGTAGCTTTACTGGTATCTGATAATAAGGGTTTTTATTGCTCATAGACTTATAAGCTGTTTATTATCATTGCATTGTTATTGTTAGGAACTAGATTAGAGGACCAGATCCTGGAAACTTACATATAGTTAAATTCATAAAACTCTGACTTTTCATTTTCTGAAAAGCTATATCCATTTACCCTCTCTTAAACTCTAAAGGATTTACAAAGGCAAAAATCTATTAAATCTGAGAAAATGTACTGGAAATTCTGTTTTATCATTTGAATTAACTAACAGAAAGTTGTTAAACTGTATGTTTATAAGAGAGGTTAACTGAACCAAAACCAGAATGTACTAACTTGCTGAGACATGAATAAATTGCAGACTACAAATTGACTTTCATTGCTTTATCACATTTCTCTATCTTATCCTCTTTGCCAAGGTTTCCTATTCCTGCCCTTAGCACCAACATGATAAAGGTGTCTGTCACTTGAGAAGATTGGGCAATATATTCCTATTTATATTCTGTGGAGAAATAATGTTTACTATTGGGATAGGATGGGGAAGTGGTACAATGAAACATCTGGCTTGAAAAACCAAGTGCAGAAGTTTATGATATGTGTAAAATGTAGTGGGAAGAGTGAACTATTTTGGATTTAATATTAGTCTTAAAGAAAATATGGTCTATCCACTTCACAGAAGATGAGGTCCCTACTTGTTTTAAAAAGAAGAAAATGTAGGTATGGTGCTCTGGTGCAATGGCCCAGCAGAAGTGGATAGAAAATCACTGGGGAAAAGGATTTGGAGAGGCTCAGCCAAGTTGTATATGTCACCCCAACCAGTGTGTCAAGGCCACTAAACTGAAGCTTCCCTCTTGTCTGATTGGGAATTTCAGGGAAATGTCAGGGCTGGAAATGAGTGAGATAAATTACAAGGCAAAAGGGCCAGAAAGAGTCTATGTAATTTCTGCATGTTTTCTTTTAATTGTGAGATGCTTTTGCCAAAGATTATGTGGCATGTGGAATTTAGTGAATATTAATAAAATTAACATTCAAGTATCTGCCACTCAAGAAATTGAATAATAGGCCGGGTACAGTGGCTCATACCTGTAATCCCAGCACTTTTGGAGGGGAGGCCGAGGTGGGTGGATCACCTGAGGTCAGGAGTTTGAAACCAACCTGACCAACAGGGTGAAACCCTGTCTCTACTAAAAATACAAAAAATTAGCTGGGCATCGTGGCGGGGGCCTGTAGTCCCAGCTACTTGGGAGACTGAGACAGGAGATTTGCTTGAACCTGGGAGGCAGAAGTTGCAGTGAGCTGAGATTGTGCCATCTTGCTCCAGCCTGGGCGACAAGAACTAAACTCTGTCTTAGAAAAAAAAGAAATTGAATAATAACTTACCTCACAAGCTCTGCATTTAGATATTTATTTTATTTTTATAATAGTCAATGAGAGCCAACATAGGTAGTTTTTTCTTTTTAACCTAAAAAAATGATTTGTTTTTTTTACATTAATGACGTATGGGGGTAAATTCTGAGAAGAAATTCTTTTCAATTTTAGAACTTTTTTTTTTGAGACGGAGTCTTGCCCTGTCTCCCAGGCTGGAGTGTAATGGTGCAATCTCTGCTCAATGCAACCTCCATCTCCCAAGTTCAAGCGATTCTCCTGCCTCAGTCTCCTGAGTAGGTGGGATTACAGGCGCATGCCACGACACCCAGCTAATTTATCGTATCTTTAGTAGAGACAGGGTTTTACCAGGTTGGCCAGGCTGGTCTTGAACTCCTGACCTCGTGTAGTGCCTGCCTCAGCCTCCCAAAGTGCTGGAATTATAAATATGAGCCACCTTGTCCGGCTCTCAGAATTTTTTTAATTGGACACTTAAAATTTTTGACATGTGATTTAAATTTTTTTAATATCAAAAATATTTTTAAAATTTTTAAAAATATAAATATACAGAAACAATTCTACCTTCTATGCCTCTCCTTCAGCCACCTCTTTCTTTCCCTTCCCTCCGAAAGGATGGTATATGCTTTCAGATAGTCACACCTTTTCTAATTTTATGTGTGTATATATTTTTCTACTTTTGTTACACAAGAAGTGAAAGTCTACTATTCACACTTTGGTTTTTTCCCTTAATATATCTTGGATATCTTTTAAATCAGAACATAAATTATTTTTAATCTTGCATGTATTCTATTGAATAACTGTACCAAATTCTTAACACAGTTCCATGTAGACAATTAGTTATTGAGCATTCTTTAAATATTTAAACTTATTTTAGATATTTTTGTCTAGTTGTTTAAAAAATGTCCAGAATATGAAATTGAAATGTTTATTAGTAACGAAATTAGCTGGCTCTTGATTTTTTTCCCTAAGTAATTTAAATTTTATTAAAATATTAGAACTGTCTTATAAATGGATGTCAAGGCCTTCTAGGCATTCGGCACCTCATAAAGTCAGTTTGAATTGGCGAGGAAACTCTTTTGTTTCTGTTGACTTAGGACAAAAGTGATAGCCTTTTGAAGCATACCAAGTTGAATTTAGTTCCATGCCTGATTTATACAGGATAACTCAGTGACTTTTGTTTCTGTTTGAATATTTTAGGTGTTTAATGAACGCTGCCGAATTCACTTCAAGCCTCCAAAGAATGAATAAAGAGAGATACTTTTTTTTTTTTTTTTTTAAAGGACTGGGTCATCTCATAAGAGCTAAGCATAACAGGTATCAACAGGGCGGGCTTCCTAGGATGATTTCTGAGCCAACAGTCCAAGACCTTTTGTTGATTTCAGCCCCACTTAGCCAAGACCTCAAATATAAATAATTCTGATAATTATGGAGAAATCAACTGCTATTTTATACTGATTCTGTAAAAAAAAAAAGTTTTGTAACTATTAAAATAATTTTCTGACTCAGTGTATATATTTATTTGATTGTTTTCTATGTTGAGACAGTTCTCTTTTTATTTATTGAATTTTTAGTTTTTATTCTTTTAATATCCTTTCTGTCAGGTTGTAACAGTTCTCATAAGAGAATTTGCATGCACTTTTAATATCTGATTTGTATTGTACTTTTTTATTTTTACAAATTTATTGGCATGGATATGGACCTTTTTGGTCATTGATGAGTTTATCCCTTGATTTATCTATTGTACTTTTTTATTTTTATAAATTTATTGGCATGGATATGGACCTTTTTTTGGTCATTGATAAGTCTATCCCTTGATTTATCTTTGTGGGCTGATTACAAAAGGGCAGTACTATAAGCTGGACACTGTCCAAAGATGTTTTCTTTTAGTAGCTTAACTGATCTCGTCTTCAGATGTAAAAACTAATTTTTGGTGGAATTCTTTCCTGGACAGTATTTCCATGGTCATGGAAAAGGAAAGCAGAAATTCAGGAAAGGGAAAAGCAGAGAACGGCTTGCATGACAGCAAACAAGTAAGAAACCTGCTGTAATTACAGGATTTGGGCCTTGCAAAAAAAAAAAAAACACTTTATAGGATGGAATGCTTATGTTATTTTTTATCACTGCTTAACAGGTTACCACAAACAGTGTCTTACAGTTCTATAGGCCAAATGGGCAGATTTGACTGGACTATTTTCTGTTTAGGGTCTGAAAGCTGAAATAAGCTGAATGCCAGGCTGGGCTTTGGTCTGGAGTCTATAAGGGAAGAGTCTTAGAGATCTGCTAAGCTCATTGAGTTGGTAGATCCTTGCATTGTGGGCCTGAGGTCCCCATTTTGTTGTTGGCTGACAGGTGCCAGTCTCAGCTCCAAGAAGCTTCCCACATTTCTTGACACATGGCTCCTTCCATCTTTAAGGTGGCAGTGTTGCATTCAGTTCTCACACTTGTAATCTCTCTGACTTCCCTTTCTGCTACAAACCAGACAAAATAATTTTAAAGGGCTTGTGTTATTAGATTAGGCCTATGACATCTTTTTGCTTAACCCAAAATCAACTGATCATAATTACATCTGCACATCTCTTGCCAGATTATATAATAACCACAAACACTAAGTCCCATATTCATGGTCAGAAGGACCTCTTGGGGAACCAATTTAGGATTTTGCCTACCACGGTGATTTAAACAAGCCACCTGGCTCTGGCCCAGTTAGATTAGTCAGCTAGGTCTCTGGTAGGCCTGTGTACATTGACCCCCATCAGATTAGGCACTTGGAAATGAGCAATAGAGATAGTGGGCACTTGGTGCCCACTATTCTTTCAACAAAGCTTTTTTGAGCACTTACTGTGAGTCAGACACTTTTGTGGAGATTATAATCTAGCCTCAACAAAAATTTCCTAGAGATCCACAGTAAAAAATGCCTTATATAAAGTTGAGTAAGTAATTTTTGGGTGGATGAGTGAGTTGAAAGGATGGAGGCAAGAATAAAAAGACAACTCCCTGATGCTGCTGCTCAGGAAGGAATTCAGATCCTTGGAAAGAATTCATTAACAGTCTTTCCAGAATTTCATGTCTGCCAAAATACCGTCTAGCTAATCCAGTTATGCTAGTGGAGTGCCTGAATCATTCCAGTTTAACAGTTACCAAAAATGTGCAATTACGGCGGCGTGGAGTGACAGTATAAATGAATAGGTTTAGTGTGATGAATGGCATTTTAAGCCTCAGTTAATGAAGGAAGATGATGACATTGCTTTTGAAAGTGGGTTTGCCTACTGAAAAGTGTCCTGTGTGTTAATTACTGCCTTAGAACAATGTGTTGATTTGTGTTTGTTGCCTAAAAGGTAGGATTCATCAACCCACACACACAGAGAAGAAATGGTGCAAAAGTTCACAAATGAGTTTGGCCCTTCCTTGGCAGAACAGAAGACAGCCATATAAAGAAACACCTCTGACACATTTGCAAATTCTTTTAACAAATATTTGAATGCCTTCCTAGGCACTATTAACCACTATTGTTACATCACTGAGCAAAACAAAAATACCTGGTTTCAAAGAGCTTACATTTGGTGAAGGGAGACAGTAGTAAGTTATATGGTATGCTAAACTATGATAGAGTTCTATGAAAAAAATAGGGAAGAAAATCATGAACAGGGTGGGGAGTGGGTTGCAAATGGCTGCTTTCAGTTGACTGAAAATATAATGCCCTTGTCTTTGCTTTACCTTGAGATCGGAATGTACCAAATAAGTGCAGTAATAAAAAGGGAGTTTCCTAATATGTCATTCTTTTATAAGTTGTGCTCTGGGATAGGTGTGGTGGCTCATGTCGGTAATCCCAGTACTTTGGGAAGCTGAGGCAAGAGGATCAAGAGCCCAGGAGTTTGAGACCAACTTGGGCAACCTAGTGAGACCCAGACTCTTTTAAAAAATTGAAAATGGTGCTTGTCTGTAGTCCCAGCTACTCATGAGACTGAGATGGGACGATCTCTTGAGCCCAGGAGGTTGAGGCTCTAGTGAGCTATGATTGTGCCACTGCCTTCCAGCCTGGGTGGCAGAGCAAGATCATGTTTTAAAGGTTGTACACTGAAGATAGCATTTTGGAAAATATAATGATATGTACCCAGTGCTGCTTTAGTAGTCCCTGCTAATGTGCCAATGTCCAGGAATGATAAACTTGTAATCTTGTAAGGTGGGAGATTAATCAAATGTGTGAGCCCTTTTTAAATCAAGAAAAATGAATATTCGACCTAGAGTTAGGTCATCTAAGCAAATATATTAGAGATTACTTAGGTTACTCATGACTTCTCTGTGTATTTAGCCTTGTCGAATACCCTGGATGAACTTGATTGATGCTTAAAAAAGAATCTTTATTATTAAGCATAAACATTGAGGAATAAAGAAGATAGAAAGTGATCACTTTTGATTGGGGTAGCATTTCCAGAACAAGCCTAATTTTATCCCATAGAATTATATTGGGAAGGAAATTCAAAATGTTACTAAGAGGTTTAGACAAACATGGCTTCCAGCTTCTGAATGCAATGGCCAGCTGGGGGCACCCCTGTCCAAGGGGAGAGGACATGGCTGCCGTGCATTTATGGATCTCCTGGTGCATTAAGAAGGGATAGGTAATACACTGGCACTTTAAGATAATTGCTGTGATTGAATGATTTTCCCACTTCAGTTTTAAAAACGAGCAAGCCAAATTTCTCCTGCTTAAAAGTCCCTAGTGGCTGGCTGGGCACGGTATCTCATGCCTGTAATCCTAGTACTTTGGGAAGCCAAGGCAGGCAGATCACTTGAGGTCAGGAATTCAAGACCAGCCAGGCCAACATGGTAAAACTCTTGTCTCTGCTAACAATACAAAAATTAGCTGGGTGTGGTGGCACACTCCTGTAATCCAAGCTCCTTAGGAGGCCGAGGCAGGAGAATCACTTAAACCCAGGAGGCAAAAGTTGCAGTGAACCAAAATCACGCCACTGCACTCTGGCCTGGGTGACAGAGTGAGACTCCATCTCTAAATAAATAAATAAATAAATAAATAAATAAACAAACAAACAAACAAACCCCAGTGGCTTCTCAGTGCCTTGAAGACAGGTACAAATTCCTTAAAGTGGCTTAGGAAGTCCATGCTCTGTTTCCTGCTCACGTCCAACCTCACTGCATGCTACGGTACATCTGTTCCCCCTCAACTTCTTTGTGCTCTCAGAAAAGACCCAGTATCACCTCTGAACATCTGTGCATTCTCTGTCTTCCCTGGCCAACTCCTATCCATGCTTCAGGTCTCAGCTATCATTTTCTTCATCAAGGCATTCCTGACCTCTCAAATACAAGTTACGTGTCCCTTTCATTCATGCACATCCATAACACCTTTATCATGATTTTTATCACACTTAAAATTCCTTGCTCACGTCTTTTCCTCCGCCTCTTTCTGAGGGCTGGCACTGTGCTTCTCAGTGCCTGAGCTGGATGAGACACTACTGGTTTCCTACCCTATATCCATGTTTCTCTTGCTTACGAATAGAATCCTGATTTTGTTTAGGGATTGTGCCTGATTGTGCCCAGCTTCCCCTTCAGCTCCAAGTAGTAGCCAGAGAATCCTGGCCAATGAGATAGGCTAGGGCATTTCTGAGAAACGTTGATAGTGCAAAGAGGACTGTCCCTCTTATTTCTACCTGGGATGTAGTTAGGGTGGCTAGAAGTGACAAGGGTTAGAACTTTTTGCCTTTGTGGTGACAAACATGAAAAACCAAGTTAAGGATGGCTGAACAGAAAGAAGGAGAAGGAATTGTGGGTTGCCATTCTAGCCCTGGGCTACTTGCCTTCAAACTTTTTTATATGAAGGTGGTGAGATGTGATATGTTATTATCTGTTCATTTGGGGATGTAGATGGGTGGTTAACCTATCTGGTTAAACCTCTGTATCTGGGATTCTATTACATACAGCCAAATGTAGCCCATAAGTGATACACTATTCAAATATTTGTTCAATTAATGAATATTATAATAATAATCACTCATTTGCTGAATGCTTACCACAAATTAGACTCCATTCTAAGTACTTTACATGATTGCCTCATTTGGGAGAAGAACCTTTGAAGGTTCTAATAGGAAAATTCTGGAGAATACTAAGCCCTACATGAAGAAATAGAAGGAATTGTGTGGAAGAATTTGGGAGAAATCTATCTTATTTCTCTAAAAGAAAGCAGCATTAATAGCTCGTCCAACCAGGACCTGTCCATTACTTGGTTCCTAAGGGTGGGGGCCAGAGTTCTTTAACATACTGAAATGTGTTGGTGGGGTACAGTGGCTCACATCTGTAATCCCAACACTTTGGGAGGCCAAGGCAGGCAGATTGCTTGAGCCCAGGAGTTTAAGGCCAGCCTGGGCAACATGGTGAAACCCCATCTCTATCAAAAATACAAAAAAATTAGCCAGTCATGGTGGCATGTGCCTGTGGTCTCAGCTACTCTGAAGGCTGAGGTGGGAGGCTCGCTTGAGCCCTGGAGGTGGAGGTTGCAAT